AAAAATAATAACAAAGTATTGGGTTTATAATATATGTAGATTTGAAGTGTATGGCAGCAATAACACAAAAGCTGGGAGGGGAGAAATGAAAATGTAGTAAGTAATGTTTTTATCCTACATGTGAAGGGGTAGAATATCACTTGAAACTGGAGTGGAATAAATCAAAGGTATATCCTAAAAGTACTACAACAGACACCAAAATAACAAGTACAGCACATAATACCACAAAAGAGATAAACTTGAATCATAAAATGTACTGATTCCCAAAGAAGACAGTAAGAGAGGAAAAGGAAATATATGAGACAAGTAGTGGGGGAAAAAAAAAAAAAGCAAGATGGTAGATTTCAACCTGAACATACAAGTAATAAGTAATTATATAAATAAATGTAAATATTCTAAATTCCATAATGACAAGGCAGGGATTATCATATTTGATTTTAAAAAAGCAATACATAATAATTGTCTACAAGAAACCCTGAATACTTTCCCCTAAAACTAAGAGAAGGCAAGAATGTTAACTTCCACCACTTCCCCTCAACGTTCCACTGGAGATTCCAGCCACTGCAGTTGTGAATGAAAAAGCAATAAAAGTCATCTGTACTGGAAAGCAAGGATAAAACTGTCTTTATTCACACACAACATGAGCATCTATGTACAAAATATAATGGAATATACAAACAGTGATTAGAACCAATAATTAAACATAGCAATGTTGTAGGATGCAAGTTCAACATACAATAGTCAATAATATTTCTATATGCTAGCAACAACCCTTTGGAAAATAATATTTAAATAAATAGTATTAAAAATATTGAATAACTTAGGGACAAATCTGACAAAAGATGTGTAAGACCTGTATGCTAAAATCAATAAACATTGGTGAAATAGATTTTAAAAAAAACCTAAATAAATGAAAATATATACTGTATACTTGGGTCAGAAGATACAATAGCGTTTAAAAAGTGATCCTTTCCAAATTGTTATGTAAATTCTATTCAAATGCAATCAAAATTCCAGCAGGTGTTTTTGTAGAAATTGAAAAGCTCAATCTAAACTTCTTAAGTTAATGCATAAGACCTAGAATTGCCTGAAAATCTTTGAAGGCAGGGGAAGTTCATGGACTAAAACCACCTAACTTCAAGACTTGTTATATAAAGTTATAGTAATCAAGGCAGTGTGGTGTTGGCATGAAGTCAAATGAATCAATGCAATAGAATAGAGAGTTTAGAAATACAGCAACCCATGTATGGACAATCAATTTTTGAGAAAGTTGCAAAGGCAATTCAGTGGAGAAAGGATGTTCATTCAACAAACTATGCTTAAACAACTGGGTATACAAATACATATAAAATCACTTTGATCCACACCTTGCACCATATGCAAAATTTGTTCAAAATATAAAATATTGAAAAATGTAAAATCAAAAATTAAAAATGTTCTATAAAGAATATAGGAGAAAATTTTTGTGATGACACTACAAACCCAATCCACAAAGGGGAATATTAGTAAATTGGATTATATAAAAATAAAAATCCTCTGCTCTTCAGATGACACTACTTAGGGAATAAAAAGACAAGTCATAACCTCAGAGAAAATATTTGTAAAACATATATTTGATAAAATGCAGTTGTTGAGAATATATAAATAATTCTCAAAATCCAGTATTTTGAGAAAACAAACAACTCAATTTTGAAAATCAAGCATAAGATTTAGTCTGTCACATCACCAAAAAGTAGATGTCCAAACTGTGGTTCACAATCATGATACACAAACTAAGTATTCACGTCATCCCCACTGCCTGATCATCTCAAGTGTGAATAACTACAATGTAAAATGCAAAGGTCCATGTGGAGAAAGCTATTAGCAGACATTGTCATTAGGATGCAAGTAAGCAGTTGGGGAAGTGGCAAACATATGTATTTTGATGAAATAGTTTTGATTTTGAACTAAGGTCTTTGTGTATCTGATGACCTAAGTCATATGTAGCAAACAGTCAGTAGAGTCAGGGTCCTGACAGTATAAACTGTGACCCCATCCAGAGTAGCTTCAGGTTTGGGTGCAGTGACAGAGAAGGTGAGGCCCAG